GAGAGAGAGAGAGAAATACAATAGTTATGTAAATTAAACCTCATTACAGCCCAGTGAGAGAGAGAAACCATTAAAAAAAAATTCTGTGAGGTCAGGTCGAGGGAGAAACTGAGATCATTTCAGTCAAGAAGAGGAGCAGGGAGCTGTAGGCCCCAGGCTGGCAGGGACTTTGTTTTATTAGCTGCTATTTTTGGGGACCGGACACACGACCGGGGGTAAGGGTGGCAGCTGTGAGACCAGACAGGCTGTGACGGGGAGGGATTTGCATCGACTTGAACAGCGAGGGGAGAGCAGATGGAGCAACTTTACCGTAAGGCAGATTCCCCAGATAATTTGCCGGGGGACTTGACAGATAAGCAGCTGCAGCCAAGTCTGAACTTTGAGCCGATGTCCCTTTGTTATCTTCCCCGGGGCTTCAACCAGACTCTGGACTCTGATTTGCCGCTTGGCCTGCAATGCTGGATCACAGGCTGCGGTTTTATTCCTGGGGGCCAGCGACTTCAGGTGCTCCCGCATCTGTTCCTGGAGTTCATTTTACTTTGCCTCTGAGCTTAATTCCTACCAGTGGGTCAGAAATCTGTGGAAGGGCTGCTTCGAGTTCTTGCAGGGGTGGTGGGTTCTGGGGAGCGGACTGGCCCCTGCAGAGCCTGCTCCCCCAGCCCGGGGCGGCCGCGGGGCTGTGGGATGCAGACGTTGCAGGGTACCCAGGCAGGACAGCAGACGTGACACCATGAAGCATCATCGCTGATGGTGGTTGAAACTCTGGAGTACCTCCTTGAAGATGGCAGTTCAGACATGCTTCTCAGTAACCCCGTGGCTCTGCTGTGTCCTTTCCCCTGGGAGCGGGTGGGCCTGTGAGCCCTTCTCCACCAGACCCTGTGACCCTAGTCCCTTTCCAGTCCTTGGTGGGGAGGATGTAACTCAGTGGTGGAGTGTGTGCTTAGCATGCACGAGGTCCTGGGTTCACTCCATAGTATCTCCATAAACAAACAAACAAACTGAATTCCACCTTCCCTCAAGAATTAAAAAAAGAAGAAGAAGAAGAAAGAAGTCTTGTCGGCATCGCAGACTCAGTCCTGTTTTTTTGAGAATTTGATCCCAAACTCGGTCCTCTTCCTGTGTCCCTGCAGGGCAGCCCCGACCAGCGTGTGGCCTGGCTGCTCCCTGCGGGGCAGAGAGGGGACGGGGTCTGCTCCCTCCTGCTCTCTCTCCTCTTCAGAATCCCTCCCCTTTCTCCAGTCCACCTGCCACCGTGAGGAGGGAGAGGCGGCCCCTGGACCGGCTGCCTCTGAGCTGGGTTTGGATATTTTTCAGGGGAAGTTCTTCTTTCTAGAAGCAATCCAGATAATAGATGAAGATGAAGTGATACCAGTAGAATGCCACCATCTTGCAGCCCCCAAATGAAAGAGTGGACGTGGTCGCCCATGACTGCTGACACCACAAAGAGGCCGCTGGACGTTATTTGCCTCCCGAGGAAATTCGCGCCACACTCACGAAACATTCTTGCCGGAAGATAGCCTGTATGTGACCAGATTTCTGTTCTGAGCCAGCAAGCTACAGAAAACACGGAGTTTGCAGGAACACATTCGATGACAACATAGGAACACACTCAGCAAAATCCAGAGACTACAGGACCACCTGATTTCTTCAACAAATACATTGTGAATAAAAGAACATATGTATAACTTATTCATAGCAAAAAAAAAAAAGAAAAGAAGTAGCCTGTAAAACTTGGTGGCTCACCTCTGAACAGTTTGAAGATTCTGTTATAAAAGCCACTTCCATGTTTATTTTTGGTCATGCAAGAAAGCTTTATGCCTCGAAGTCTAGAGCTGTCCTAGGAGTGATTTTTTAAAAAATCATTGTAACCACTTTTAAGTGTACAATATAGTAGTTTTAAGTGTATTCACACTGTGTGCAGCCATTCTCCAGAACTTTCTCATCTTGCAAAACTGTAACTACACCCATCAGACCACAGCTCCCAATTCTGCCCTCCCTTCTAGCTGCTGGCCACCACTATTCTTTCTGTTTCTATAAATTTGACTATTTTACACATCTCATGTAATAAAAGCCATATTTATTTTTAAGGCAAAAAACCCCCCCATGTCTACTGAGATTAGCAGGAGAAATAATAGGATGTCTGGGATTTCCTTCAAACTAACCTTGCGTGTGAGGGAGGTTCGGGGCTGTGGGTGAAGCAGGATTGGCCACAGCTGGTGCTTGTGGAGGCAGCCGATGGAGACACGAGTTCCACCAGAATGACCGCCATCCTTGTCATGGTTTGTGCCTGAAATTTCCTATAGTGAAAAAACCTGCGGGGTTTGCCCACATTAATTTTGATCACAGAGCTGTTTTGCTCCAGGGCTTATCGCTGTGGGTTCTGCAGCTTTAGATGCAGAGGGAAGGACTAACATGTTTTGAGATCCTTGAAACACCAGCCTCTTTTGTAGATAGATTGTCTTGAAACACCAGCTTTAATCCATGAGCCACCGTGGAGAGGGCACTGTACCTTTCAGGTGTTTCAGACACGTTTCAGAGTAAGTCGCACATCCTTCAAAAGTGGGAAGGGATGGAAGCGTTACTGAACTACACTCGGGTCCGCTTGCCCGCGCGCAGTAAAGCCGACCTGTGACACCGGGCTGTGGGGAAGGAAAGTGCGACGTTTACTGCAGGCGCCCAGCAAGGAGTCCAGGCCGCTGGTGCTTAAAGGGCCCAAACTTGCTGACGGCCTTCCGGGAAAGGCTTTTAAGGACAGGGTGAGGCGGGGGCTGTGGGGTGTGATCCGCTCACGGACGTTCTTCTGATCATCTCATGGACGAGAGGTCATGGGGAGTCAGTGCCATCAACCTTCCGGTTCCCGCAGGTCTGGGGTCTCCGGCTTGTGGGCAGCACGCAGTTAACTTCTCCCACCTGGTGGGGGTTTCCGCAAAACAGCTCGAAGGACAAGGCTCGGGATGTTGTCTACTGAGCTTGAGGAGGAAATGAAGGTCCTCGACTTTCTTTAACAGCTAAACGATTATTATTCTGTCTTGCGTGACGTTCTGCTTTCTTTCTGTGTTTTCTCACTTTTCTGATTACCTGCACTCTTTGGGACTCAGGGGGCCTAGGAGACTAAAGCTTTTCTCCAGACAAGAGGTAGGCGCAGGACGGGGGGTAGGTGGGGGGGGGTCTGTCCCGGGATGGCCCCATGGGGTCCTGCTCGGTTACAGGAGGTCAGTGAGCCAGCATGATGACGGGCGCACAGTCGTTCCTCTTCAGGGTTTGAAGCGGTGCCTGACGCACCGGCCCCCGCCGGGCACCGCGGACGTGCCGTCCGAACCTAGCACCTCACAGCAGACCTGCGTCACGGCTGTTGTTCATGTGGGGAGATTCCACATGGGGAGGTGGGGTGCAGAGTGGACCCGGGATGTCAGGCCAGGTGCCTCTGACTTGGAGCTGCATTCTATTCCAGGCAGTCTGCGTCCGGCCAGGGCAGCAGCGTCCCGGGGGTGAACTTGCTAAGGTTATTTGGCTTCAGACACTCAACCTTCCCCTGCTGTCTCTGCAGGACATGGCGCAGGTGGACGGGGCCTCCTGCCCTGGGGCTGCCCCCGGCCAGCCCTGCATCTTCAAGCTGGTTCTCCTGGGCACTGACTCTGTGGGCAAGTCCAGCTTGGCTCTCCGATACGTGAAGAATGACTTCAAGAGTATCCTGCCGACCGTGGGATGTAAGTGACGGGACAGGGCGTCTTTCGTTCGTCTCCGGGGAAGAAGCCAGGGCCGCTGACCCAGGCATGGGGGGCATGGGGACGAGGCCACCGGGGAGTTTCCCACGTGCTCCCGGGACCGCAGGCAGGGCCTGGCACATTCAGGGATGAAACGAGGTCCACCTCGGTCAGTCACACACAGAACCCAGAGCACAGCCAGGTGTCAGCTCAGCTGGAGTTGGCGGAGGGGTGGAGGGGCAGGGACAGAGTCTCTGGCCCCAGAGGGTGGGGTGAAGGATTGTGCTGGCAGAGTGGGGAGAAGGAGAAGCACCCCGAGGCTCTGCCACTCAGCCCCCGGACAAGCTGGCCTCTCCCAGCTGTGTGTCCTCCGTGGCTCTCAGTCTGGAAGGGCGGCGCCGTGCGGTTGCAGCGGGAACAGCACAACTCTTGAAGCCTAAAATATTTGCTACAGGGCCCTGCCCCCCAAAGTTTGGGACTCCTGCTCTTACAGAGTCTGCGAGAGACCCTGAGGCAGCGAGTGGCCAGGGGATGGGCTCCAGGGGGCGTGGGGAGGCCGAGGAGAGGGGCATGGGGCTCACTGTGGGCCACGGCCTCAGCTCAGGGGCGCAGGGAGGCCCGGCTCGGGACTGCCAGGAGAAGGTGGGTAGTGGGTGGAAGGGGCCCCTCGCGCACAGAGCCACGCGGAGCCAGGGGAGGGTGCCAGCCTTCTGTGCTTGCAGGGGGCTGGGGAAGAGGGAAGGGATGCTCAGACATGCTGGATAACTTTCCCAGGCAGGAGGCCTGTAGGCCCAGCGCGCGGCAGCTTGTGGACAGCGGGGGGGCCCTGTCCCCCACCCACTGGCACCTCCACTGGTTCCTCCAGTTCCAGCAGGTCGGGGACCAAGCTGTCACCCTCCCCAGACTGTCCACGTCACCCCATTCTCTTCAGGGGTGCTGTGAGGCCAGGAGGGTGCAGAGCTGGGGCTCAGGTTAGGTGGGGGCTCCTTTGGTTGCAGAGCAGGGCTGGGTGTGCCCCCCGCCCCCTGCCTCCTCCTGCCAGCACCCCGCCGCCAGCCCAGGCTTATCCCCCAGGACTCCACCTCTGCCTGGGGCAGGTGCCTTAAATCTCCGCTCCCACTTTGGCCTTCCAGGCTCGGGGTGGGAGGATGCGGAGACGGGGGAAGACTGGATCAGTGTTTCGTGGCCCACAAGCCCGTGGCTGAGCTTAGCGCTTCTTTATTCGGTCAGCCACCAAGCTCCTTATTGAGCACCTACTGTGTGCACCGCTGAGCCTGGTGCAGGAGTGGTGAGGTGAGTGAGCCCCTGCTTTCAGGAGCTCAGTCTCGTGCGGGAATGATGGTCTCCCCCAAGCACATCGCAGGTCCCCTGAGCTCCCCGGGTACAACTTGAGATGTTACTAGAGCTTTTGGAGGTGGATATTATAGTTATCACATTATTCTGAAAACAAATAAATAAAATAATATTATTTATTTATTATATTCATATATTATATGCTACGTGACTATTAATTATTATGCTATCATAATGATTGTGTTATTATAAAAGCAGACATCCCCCGTTTTCAAATGAGGAACTGGGACGAGTGTCCCTTTAATCTAAGGGGGGTGGTCCGTGCTGTACAGAAGCCCTTTGAAGGCAGGTGCGTCCTCACGACGACGGCCTTGGCTTTCCGGAGGGTGAGCAGAGCCACAGGGGGAGGGTGAGGGCGCTCACCACCCCCACCCCGGGGCCACGGGGAGGACGCCGCGGGGAGGACGCCGCGGGGGTGCGTGACCGGCGTGGCCGGCAGGGAGTTCTCAGCAAACAGGAGCTGAACGAACAAATGGCGGGACGGCCTAGGTTCTCACCTGCGTGTTCCTGTCTGTGAAACGAGGACGCCCAGGCCCTGCTCTGGGGTGAGGGGGGCCCTCTGTGAAAGGCTGAAGGAAGGATGTCAAGTCACGATCAGCGTGCTGTGACTTAAGGTCGTCACCCTTCCTTAGACACCCACCCCACACCCCTGAGGGCAGGGGCGGGGCCAGGGCCTGGCACGTCCTTGGTGCTGCTGCCTTCAGGGCAGGCCAGTTGCAAGATCCTCCAGCCTTTGGGAGGCGCGGGGGTCCCTGGGCTCCCTCCAGAGGGTCTGGGTCTGTTGGTGGGTGCAGGGTTGGGGGGCCCGCAGCGGAGGATTACACAAGCACTGGGCGTGGCTCTGCAGAAGACTGCTCAGGCCAGGATGGTCCGGCCAGGATGGTCCAGCCATCCTGCAGCCGGACCCCGCCCATCCAGAGGAAGTTGGAGCCATAGCTGTGAGCCGCAGTGACCGACAGACTCGAGTACCCCAAACAGCCAGAGTGGAAGTGAGTGCAGACTCCTGGGGGCTCGGCCTGCTTGGGGGAGACCAGAGTCCCCTTGAACTCCTGGCCACCCCAGTACCCCAAAGGCTTCCAGCCCGGCTGCAGGAGAGGGCCTGGCAGGGGTCGTGGAGGTGGGCAGCTCCAAGGAGTGGTCACTGGGGCCACCCAGAGCTCCCGAAGACCCCACCGAGCTTCCCCCGGCCCCTCATCCTGGAATCCCGACTGGCCATGGCAGGGGGAGCGCTGGCCGGTTCCCCGCCCTGCATGGTCTCAGGGACTTCTTTGGAGGGATGGTGACATCTGGTGTTGGTGTGCGTATTTGCTGGCGGAAGCCAAAATGAGTTCAGACCAGCTAGGCCTAGTGTGGGCCAGAGAGGCACCAAAGGTATTCAGTGTCACCCCCACCTCCCTCCCCTGCTGAGCGAAGCTTTGCTGAAGCCCCTGAGAAGTCACTCACGTCGCGTTCCCCTAAACCAGTGAGGAGCTTGTGACTTTTACAAAAAAGATGAATGTGGCAGAGAGGGCTCCAGTGAGTGCCATCAGCTGTTTATTTAAATTAAAAGGTAAAAAAGCCAACCTTTCCTTAGTTCACATTGAGTAGAGACACACCTTTTAATTTGGGGCCAAAAAATGCAAATTGAAGAATAGCCCCCGGTTAATTCTCTTGTCATTTGTTGCCCACGGGGGTTCCTTCAGCTCACCAAGTCGAGGGCATGTCTGCTTCCAGAGGCTGGGAGCGGGGGCTGGAAGTGTCCCCAAGTGTCCCCGCCACTGGGGCACCTGCGTGGACATTTGCAGCGGGGCCAGAGGAGCGGGAGCCCTGCTGTGTGCCGTGATGGAACAGTGAGCCCAGTGGCCTCATTGCAGATTATAGTCTGATGAAAAGGTGCCAGTGCATTGTGTCTACCAGCCTGTTCTAGAACAAGTCCTGGTTTGCGGCCTGATCCCACCCCCAGCCCCCAGCTTGTTGCCAGTATCATTTCAGGCAAAATCTCCAAGTCTGTTTGAATTTCTTGGAAGTTTATTTTGTAATCACTTTGTGGCTTCAGCTGTGAACACGTAAAAAATGTGGACAATGGGTTTCTGAACAAGGGAGATAATTCATGTGGGCTCTTTTCTGGGTGGGAGCCAAGGAGTCCACCTTGATTTTGGACCTCTGACTGCCAGGACTGAAAGAATCCATTTCTGCTGTCTGAAGCCACCCTGTCTGGGGTCATTTGCTCCGGCAGTTCCAGGACACTCACACGCTGGCCTTGGAGTGCAAGTTTTAATTTTAAGCATGCAGCTGCGTTTGCCAGAATCTCCCCACAAGTTCCACCCCAGCTGGGGTGTGGGCAGGGCCGCAGCTTTTCTTGAAGCCCCACCTCTGTCCCCCTCCCAGTCCCTGGTCCAGTTCTGTGTATGACATACCTGCACACTGTGGCCAGAACATCTTGGTGTCACTAAATAACTATCTCAAAGTCACATCACTTTGGAAAATTATGCTAAGGGGGAAAGAATCCTCAGCTGAAAGGTGGATTGCCCAGTATGTCGAATGAAAGGTTTGGGGGTAGGTCTTCCGTTGTGTGTCATTTTGAAGCTGAGACATGAATGAATAGAAGTCCCTGCCCTCCAGGTGCTCATTGTCCCCAGGGGCGACAGGTGAGAACACAGCAATCTAGCTGTCTACCTGTGCCCCTGGGTGTGTGAGCAGCACAGGGAGGCGCGGGGGGAAGAGATGGGGGCCTGGGCTGGCACTCAGAGACCTCAGGGGACGTGAAGGGACGGGGAGGAGGCAGGTTCCAAGCAGAGAGGTCAGTGCAGATGGAGGGTCGGCAGGGTGAGGTGTGGATGAGGCTGGGAGGTAGCAGGAGGCCGGGAGGGTTTGGAGGATGAGCTCGTGAGACCATCAGTGTGCCAGCTGCATCTCTGGACCCCCACGGGGACATGTTGGACCCTTGGTTATCAGAGACCCCTTCCATGCCACCCATCGTCCAGAGGGTTTTGAGTTAGGACACTGAGAGGTTATCTTCCCACCCAAAAGCTCTGTAGAATCTACAAAGGTCTGCAGCAAATTACTCGTAACACTGTGCTTTTCCCGGAAACGTCCACCTTCCAGACGAGGTGTGTGCTCAGCCCTCCCCACTGTGGTGACAGGACACAGGGCTGGCTGCCTCTGGCTGGCTTGCTGAGACCAGGGCTTGCGCTGGCCCAGGCTGAGGTGGGTGAAGACCTCGCCCTCCAGGGAGGCCTCCTCTGGGCTTCTGTTTCAGGTGCGTTCTTCACCAAGGTGGTGGATTTGGGCGCTGCGTCTCTGAAGTTTGAGATCTGGGACACAGCTGGCCAGGAGAAGTACCACAGCGTCTGCCATCTCTACTTCAGGGGCGCCAGCGCTGCGCTTTTGGTGTATGATGTCACCAGGAAGGTGAGGCTCGCCAGCGCGTGTCCCCACCCTCCACAAGGCTTCCGCTTTCTGTGCTCCTGGGGGGTGACTGGCCTTGATGTGAAAATCATGACAACCAGTAGAGAACCCTTCCCTGAAAGTTAGTCACCTCCTCCAGGAAGTCCCCCGTGACAACCCCTCCTCCTGCTGCATGTTGGGTATGTTCTCCTCGGTGGTCCTCCCAGAACACCCCGAACAGCATCACCCTCCATCAGTCATGATTCCTTGGGTGCCCACTGAGGGGCTGAGCGGGATGTTATGAAAACAGGATACAGCCCTCGGCTGCATCTCCGATACACACAGTATCTCCGGGGCTGATGCCAAACAGGCGTGGGCAGATACTTGGAGCACCAGCGGGGAAGGGTGGGGGCCTGTGGGGGTCGATGGGGGGCACCCTACTTCCTGCAGGAAGGTTTAGCTGAGATGGTGGTGGGAGATGCAGGGCTGGCCTTTGGGGTGGGCAGGGGAGGAGGGGTGGGTAGGTGAGCAGGAGGGAACGGAGTTCTGGTAATCGGGCCATGCTGGTGGAATCAGGGGGTGTGCACCACCAGTGGGGCCCTGCAGTGCTGAGAGCAGGCCGACCGGGTCAGCTTGACTATGGAGCAGACGGGTCGCTTGGGGCCCAGGGCAGAAGCCCCTTCATAGATCTGGGGGCACTGCAGTGAGGATCGGGGTTTGGGATGCCAGTCAGCCCCCCACAAAGTGGTCCTTGAGGGCATCCAGGAACAGAGGCCTCCTGGGCTCCAGGTCTGACCTGGAACCGCCTGCAGCTCCCAGCCTCCCTCCGCCCGGTGAGGACGGAGCTGCCCAGACCACCCCAGGCCAGAGACAGGCCTCCCGCTCCAGGGGTGCAGCAGCCCTTGGGTCCCTTGGGGGGCCAGTTGGATCGGGTGCCATATTGCACAGGGTGGCCACCCACACCTGCCGTGACTCTCCCGGGGCGCTGAGGAGGACCACCGGGATGTGCCCCACTGATGTTCCTGGTTTCCTGGTTTAGGATTCGTTCTGCAAAGCGCAGCAGTGGCTGAAGGACCTGGAGGAGGAGTTCCACCCGGGAGAAGTTGTGATCATGCTGGTCGGCAACAAGACGGACCTCGGCGAAGAGCGGGAGGTGACGCTGGAGGTGGGACTGTAGACCGTCGTTCTGTCCCCGCCGGGGAGGTGGGAGGGACCCCCCACACACGCACACACACCTAGTGTCCCTTCTGGGTGAAACTTTCTGGTCTCCTGGGAAGGTCAGGCTGATAGGTGGTTGCGCCCAGGCGTGGGGAGAGCTGGGAGCAACGCCGGCAGCACCCCCAGGACTGGCGGGGTGGTGGGGGCGCAGCCTGGCGGGGTGGTTCCCCCGAGAAAGCCACGACCCTGCCCAGCATCTCCCTCCTTAAGTCATGGGAGTTTCAGATCTTTTTCTCTGTGTTCAATAAACTATTGCAGAAGGGGCAAGTGGGTATAAATCCAAATTTCTTTGCTAGGACATGAGCAAGGGGCAGGAAATCTAAAAAGCTGCAGGTCTCCTGGAAACGGACCAGCAATATGGGAGAGGCGTGGAGAGTGCTGGGAGCCCGGAGCAGGAGCAAGTGCTCCTAGTGCGTGTGCGTGCGCGCGTGGAGCGGTGTCTGTGTGTATCAGTGTGTGTGGGTGTGGAGCGGTGTCTGTGTGTATCAGTGTGTGTGGGTGTGGAGCGGTGTCTGTGTGTATCAGTGTGGG